AAATAAAAGACAAACATTGCTGAAATATTAAATAGTTATAGTATATCTGATGACATTTTCGTACACACTGCAATAGAGTGGAATTCAGGCATAAACATATTTGGATTAAATGTTAATGCACACACTGTAATTTGCTTATATTCCATCTTGATCAAGAAATATACTGTAAACTATCAACAAACTTGAATAAATGAAAAAGTATTTACATTTGACAAACAAGCTGATTAGTGATACAAATGTTGGCAAGACATTGTTAAAGTACTGAGATTAGTATTGAGTATAGGAATTAAAATTATATACTGTAATAATAGTATATGAGCAAGAGGCACACACCAGAATATCATTCTGCCTCTTTTTGTTAGTTGGAGCAGCATTTTGACACTTTTCTACACCTTTTAAACTCTTTTTGTCAGTTTTGTCAAAATATTTTTACAACAATATTTCAACCTAAATCTAAATAACTGTTGTGATGTCGATGGTCGTTGTCAATCACAGTCAGTCAACCTCTTGATGTGGTCTTGGAATAAGTGTCTTTCAAAAATGATTTTTTCTGCATTCAAGCAAACATTTTTTCTGATAAGTTAAATTTCCAGATTGAAATCTATAGGGGTGTAGTGATGTCATGTCATGTCATTTGCCAAACCGCTTTATACCATATGGTATTGCAGGACACCGGAGCCTACCCGGCAGGCAACAAGCGCAAGGCAGGGTCCACCCTGGACAGGGCGCCAGTCCATTGCAGGGCAAGTGCAAACCAATCATTCATGGGGACAATTTGGAGGCCACAGTAAAGGCCGAGGGGGGAAGTTTGGTCCAGACACCGGGATAACTCCCTACTCTTATCGATAAATGGCTGGGGATCTTTAATGACCACTGAGAGTCAGGACCTCGGTTTAACGTCTCATCCGAAAACAGTGCCCACTACAGTATAGTGTCCCCGCCACTATACTGGGGCATTAGGACCCATACAAACCACAGGGTGAGAATCAATCAAACACAATAACAGGCAGTCTCACACAGAGATGCTAAATACACAATTCATTGATAAAGCAACAAAACATGCATAACAAACCAAAAAGAGTAAAAGGATATGTTTGTGAATAAATCTCCTGTGATATGAAAATGTGATTGTTCACTCAGGGACTACAAAGATAAGAATTAATAATGTCAAAGTTAAAATCCATTGACTATAATGTTTTATTGTCTACAGTACCTGGTAAGTTATATCAATATAATGTACTTTAGTTGGTCATATTCCTATTCCCAAAGACAGGTATGTATGCATTTACTATGGTGAATTTATTTTATCGGACATGTTTGAAGTAACAGTTTAACTCTTGAGAGTGGTAATATGATTATAAAGGTTTTATACTCAATGATTTGTTGGCCCAACTTTTTTTAATGAGTTTGAATTTTAAAGACAAAGTAGAGCAGGGTTCTTGCTTGCTCTGTGGGGAGCTTTGCCTAACATTGGTGAGTAAAACTAGGAAATCACAGTTGGTGATTAGTCGGGATGTTATCAGGTATAATTTCAATATCCACCCCGCAGGTACATCATTGGTTGATCAATGGATCATCCATTGGTTAGTGACCACTGATCCATTGTCTCGCTTACCAGAATGAGATGAACCAAGCTGCACCAAATATCATAAGGAAGGTTCAGAATGAGCACAGCTTTGCAATATTCTTGTCTATGTAACAGACATGGGAATCAGAGAGGCTCCTTAAAGCTAGATTTCTGCTTGGGTGAGGCAACAGAAAGATTATGAGAAATCTTTAATAACATTTAATTCTAAGTGTATAATTTGCCTTGCCACTACAGGCAAGACCCAATGGGCATTTAAATTCTTTCTGCCAGTCCAAAATGTGAGTGCATTACCTCCGTTCTAAAATATTTAGTGCTGCTGGCAAGATGGAAATGCACTGCCTTTACTCATTCCCTTTACTGTGTACACTTCGAGATGGACAACATAACATTTTTTATTCCTCTGCCAAAACAATTGACTCATAAGCACTTAAGACATATTTTTTTTGTTTTCAGATTTGGAATTCTTAGCAAATTTTTTAGCAGAGCATTGCAGAGAGAATTTACATGACCCCTGACTTAAAAAACTAAAAATTATAAAGTTTTTTGCCATTTTAAACTTAATGAAATAGTAAATTAGTTGTCTGGAGAATTGAGCTCTGATATGGACACAGCCTCCTAGCCTTCTCTTCATGATGTAGCTGATGTCATGTTTTTAGTAGCTTCTTGTTCATAATTATAAATTGTGATGCTGTTAGCCTGAGTTACTGACCAGCTTTCCTCCTGTTGCAAACAATATTATTTTTGTTTTCTTAAGTGGTCTGTCAATTGGTTCAAACACGCTCTGGAGTCCCAGGTCTTTTATGCTATTTCCTTTTCTTTGTACTTGTCTTCCCGGTCTATCCTCACACAAACACCCATCTGTTCAACATAATACACTATTCGATCCTTTGATAACTGTACATTCTATCTTTAACTGTACAAAACATTCCCATATTAAGCCATGGACCTTTCATACTTACACTTCTTTCAGTTAGACATTAAATACTGGAGCACCTTAAACCATACAGAGAGCATTTACTCCAATGTACTCTTTCTTCATCACACACTAGAGGTAAACACTAATCCTTTTTCCTGGCTGATCCTGTTTGGCCAGGGATACTTCTCTACAACTGACACTGTAACCGTCAGTTCTCATACTACAGAAGTCTATCTGCACTTGTTCCAGCAAATTTACTATGTTTTACTACTAGGTTTTGCTGACATTCCACCTTCAATAACAATATATCATTATTCAATTTGATTTTGAATGATTTTAACATTGGTTTTCATTTGTTAATTTGACATAAATTACTGTATATACATTACTTGCAATTCATCAAAATGTTTTTAGTGTCAGGGAGGGAATACTTTTGCAAGGTACTGTACCTGGTGCATCTCCCATGCTTGAAAAACATCTAATGAGACCAGTGCACCTGCTTTCTGGTTAGAACAACAACTTGGAAAACAAATGCCAGATGATATTTTTATCTTGTCTAGTTCAGCATTGTAAATGACCCCATTCACTCTATCCATTAAGTTCATGTTACTAGGGAACTCCAGTGCCTTTAACACCATCCATCCACCTTTACTGAGAGATAAGCTAAGGGTGGCGCAGGTGGACACTCCCCTGCTGTCCTGGATTATAGACTATCTGACCTGCAG